TTAAATCTCTGCTTCATTTCTCTTTGCCATCCTGCCTAATCTACATGGCTCCGTCGATGGAGCCATGTAGCTTAGATACACCCATATTGTCATACAGAAAAAAAATCAGTAACCAAACCAACGTAATTACATTAATATATTATTACAAAGACGCTCTGGACGCATTCTCTAGTTCTTGGGATGCCCTGAAATGGGAGGTGAGATTAGACAATTTTTATTCTCCTCTTGCTTTTCACCATCAGCAGTACCCTAAACGCCAAACATTTTACAGCAGAAACCATCTCCTAGGCAGACATTCTACTTCTCGTCATGTTTGGGATTTCCTTCCCATGTTTTAGGAGCAGAAATTTACCATACTAGGCTATGTCTAGACTGCAAAGAAAAGTGGGGAAAAGATACACAAACTGTGTATTTGTGTCTCTTTTCGCACTGTTCTTTTGAAAGAAGCTTTTCTGAAATTAATGGGAGGTGAGATTAGACAATTTTTATTCTCCTCTTGCTTTTCACCATCAGCAGTACCCTAAACGCCAAACATTTTACATTTTACATTCCACGAGGAGTACAGCTAGTTCGGATTAGAAGCCTAATCCGAACTAGCCCAACTGTTTTTTCGGAAATTGTTCCAAAAAAGCAGATGCATTCCCAGGCCGTGGAAGGGCTTTTCTGGGATACCAGAGGCATCCCAGAAAAACTCTGCAGTCTAAACATAGACTTACAGACTATTAATCTGAAGCTATTAATCAAATGTAAAAGCTCAGAGCAATATGTGAATTGTTTGTAGTGCCATCTCGTGGCTATATGGTAAATTACACCTTTTGGTTAGATAAAATCATCTTGAATGCGAGGGAAGGGAGAGACACAAAGGACATTCATTCAATAGTTGATCAAGAGTGAACCCAAACAACCAGACCTGTGACAGTCAACAAGACACAGTTCTGTGTTCAGTGACTCCAGAACACAGCTGAATGTATCGTGTTGCGGTATTGCCAACGGGGACTTAATTCGCTATAATCGACTCCTCGCAAAAGCCACCAATCTATTGACTGATTTCCTGAAGGCCTCCTTGAACTCTTTGTTTCTCAGGCTGTAGATGAGCGGGTTGACCAAAGGGGTCAGGACGGTGTAGAAGACCGAGAAGACTTTGTTCAGGTCTCTCAGTGTGTTTGTTCTTGGTATGACGTACACCATGATGAGGGTCCCGTAGAAAGTGGTCACAACCATCAGGTGAGAGGAGCAGGTGGAAAATGCCCTTCGCTTCCCGGTGGTGGAGGGGATGCTTACAATAGTGGTGATGATATAGATGTAGGACATCAGGGTTAACAGAAAAGGGGGAAAGATATCTATGGAAGCAAAGCAGAAAGCCACAAGTTCTATCAAGTTGGTCTCGCTGCAGGCGAGTTGGACGACGGGGGTGAAGTCACAAAAGAAGTGGTCAATGTCTCTAGGGCCACAGAAAGTTAACCGGGACATCAAACATATTAATATGGTGACGACTACAAAGGCAATGAGGCAAGAACCCGCTGCTAACTGGACGCAATGTCTCCCGTTCATAACTCTTCTGTAATGCAAGGGTTTACAGATGGCTAAATACCGATCATACGACATCACGGAGAGGAGGTAACACTCCGCTGCGGCAAGGCCAGCGAAGAAATAGTACTGTACGAAACAACCACCCACAGAGATGCTTCCATTCCCACTCAGGAGGCTGGCCAGCAGCCTGGGCAGGACGGTGGAGATGTAGCAAGCTTCCAAGCAGGACAAAATCCCCAGGAAGAAATACATGGGGGTGTGAAGGTGCTGATCTGCCACCACTAGCACAAGAATGAGGATGTTCCCAACCATGGTCATAATGTAGATCAAGAGAAACAACAGGAAGAGACAACTCTGTAATTCGGGGAGGTTTCCAAATCCCAGGAGGATGAATTCTTTGATGGCGGTTTCATTTCCGACTTCCATGTCTGCCATGGGGACCACCTTTGGACAAGAAAAACACATTGGGGGATTTTTCCATGCAGTACCTCATATTTCACAGTAGAAATGTTAAGTCTTTCACCTTCATCGCGTGTGACGTGCCCATATTGCTAATGCAGCATCTTTCCAGCTGTAGACTCTAGTTTTCCAACTTTGCCAAAAAGAGATCAACAAGTTCTCTACCGAAACACACATGTGACTGTACTCTAAAAGTTTCATTTTGCGCCCTCAGTGGGACCCTACATTCCTAATATTTTATAGCAGTAACCATATCCTAGGCTGGGATCCCACTTCTGATCCTGTTTGGTGTCCTCCCCCCATGTTTTCGGAGCAGAAATTTACTACAATACCCTAATAACCCTTAATATAAACACATAACAACAGCCATACTGGGTCAGACTAAAGGCCCATCTAGCCCAGTAGCCTGTCTGCCAGCAGTGGCTAATGCCAGGTTCCCCAGAGGGAGTGGACAGAAACCTGTGGAACTCCTTGCCAGAGGTTATTCGGAAAATAAAGACTTTAACAGGGCTCAAAAAAGAGCTAGATAAATCCATGCATGTTTACATATTCACACAATATAAGAACTAGGGGTCACCAAATGAAATTAATAGGCAGCAGGTTTCAAACAAACAGAAGGAAGTTTTTCTTCAGTCAGTGCACAGTCAACCTGTGGAACTCCTTGCCAGAGGATGTGGTGATGGCTAGGACTTTAACAGGGTTCAAAAAAGAGCTAGAGAGATTCCTGGAGGTTAGGTCCGTCAATGGCTGTTAGCCAGGATAGGCAGGGATGCTCTCCCTAGCCTCTGTTTGTCAGGGGCTGGAAATGGATGACAGGAAAGAGATCACATGCTGATTACTTATTCTGTTCACTTCCAAAGCACCTGACATTGTCCATTGTTGAAAGATAGGATACTGGGCTAGATGGACCTTTGATCTGACCCAAGTATGGTAGTTCTCATTTTCTTAGGTAGGTAATCTAGCTCTTCTTTGAACCCTGTTAAAGTCCTAGCCATCACCACATCCTCTGGCAAGGAGTTCCACAGGTGGTCTGTACACTGCATGAAAAAAACTTTCCTTTTTTTCATTTTAAACCTCCTGCCTATTAATTGTATTTGGTGACCCCTACTTCTTACGTTATGGGAACAAGTCAATAACGTTTCCTTTTTCACTTTCTCCACACCTGTCATGATTATATAGACCTCTATCATATCCCCCCTTAATCTCCTCTTTTCTATGCTGAAAAGTCCCCGTCTTTTCAATCTCTCATCATATGGCAGCCGTCATTTTTTGTTCTTTTCTGAACGTTTTCCAATGCTAATCTATCTATCTATCTATTGAGATGAGGTGACCACATCTGTATGCAGTATTCATACAGAGGCAATACAATATTCTCTCTCTTATTTTCCATCCCTTTTAAAATTATTCAAATTAGTCTGTTTTTGTTTGTTTGTTTGTTTGTTTGTTTTTGGCTGCCATCTATTGTTTTTAATAGGGATTGAACACTATTCTTCTAAGATACAGAGTTGAGGTCCCAAATCTTACCTCTTGTCTATCTCTCTATCTCTCTATCTCTCTTCTTTAATATCCTGATTTATCTTGTCAGCCTTTTAAAGAATTCACCCTCATTGTAATCAGGCATTATAAAGTGGAAGGTGACAACTATCATTCTGAAAGAAGATTGGAGGAGTGTTCTGTGTCCCACCTCTCATAATGCCAAGAGGCATTTTACTCCCCGAGAAACACCAATTTTCAGCTGGAAAAAAAGTTAAAACCTCAACATATTTTTAAAATATATATTTATCCGTTATTTTTGCTTTTGATCATGGAATTCAGGGAAAATTACCAAGTTTTTCTCAGCCCCAAACCAAAACGTTTTCCGGTTTTGCCTGAAAATGTTCCTCCTTTTGTGTGTGTGTGTGTGTGTGTGTGTGTGTGTGTGTGTGTGTGTGTGTGTTGTTGTTGTTGTTGTTGTTGTTGAAGAGTTTTGCAGGAAATCAGACATGTTTGGGAAAAGCTATATCTGTGTCAAACTTCCATTTTGCAGTTGAGAAACCTTTAGATGACAAATGTTTGACTAGTCTTAATGCCCATAAAAGACTTGGTTTTTGATTGGCATTATCAGACTATCCCCAGGTACATTTATAGTATCTTAAGATTAAAAAAAACCCTTTGTTTCTGGGCTTAAAGCAGCATCTCTCTGGGATAATGAAGAAATTGTTTATAAAGTCCCCACCCCTCCCTTTCTTGGGGATATTTGATACAGTCTATGCTATCAAACAGAGACCTTCCTGGGTATATGGACCACTGGACTGATCCCTTCTAGGCCCTTTTCTATGGTCCTGTCCAACTCCAGGAGTTTCCTCTTATTACGGTGAGAGAATTTTAGGAGTTAAGTGTGAACAGCGACATTTGACGTCCTACCTATGGCATCTTAGTGCCCAGCCTGTAGCTGGACCCTTTGTAGATACACCCAATGTGGCTTGGGGCTGCAGAGAAGTTACATGGGACTCCTCTTCTCAGACACCTTCCCGGTGTCTGCAGCTTTCTTTTGGCTGGGCTTGAGTTGTTAGGTTCTAGGGTTAGACGACACCACCGGGAGCATCGAATTGGACTTTACATCTCGTAAGACATGTCGACGCTGCGCTGTGCACCCAGGTTAGAACGATTAGCACGTGGGATCCAGTATTCTCAGACCAGCATTTCAGCGTCCGCACTGTCCTATCCTGATTTTTTACCCTTGATCTATTTCTTTTTCTCGTAGGGCTGTGTCTCTTAAACTGTTCAAGATAGCCACAAGTGACCAGAGATTTGGGGAGTTAAAACACAATAAAGACACTGAGTTTTCAGAAACTACAGCTATCTATCTATCTATCTATCTATTCTTTAGCCTCTTTTCTAAGCTGAAAAGTACCAGTCTTTTTAACCTCTCTTCATATGGCACTCGTTTCAAATGGTTTTTGTTGTTCTTTTCTGAACGTTTTCCAATGCTTTATCTATCTATCTATCTATCTATCTATCTATCTATCTATCTATCTATCTATCTATCTATCTATCTATCTATCTATCTATCTATCTATCTATCTATCTATCTATCTATCTATCTATCTATCTATCTATCTATCTATCTATCTATCTATCTATCTATCTATCTATCTATCTATCTATCTATCTATCTATCTATCTATCTATCTATCTATCTATCTATCTATCTATCTATCTATCTATCTATCTATCTATCTATCTATCTATCCCCACACACACCCTCTCTCTCTCTCTCTCTCTTTCTCTCTCTCTCTCTCTCCCCCCTTCCCCTTCCCCTTCCCCTTCCTCTTCCCCTGCCCACACTGGCTGGACAACAAACATCAGTGGAATACCTTAGCTCCTGGTTGCCATTTCAAAATCTCATTTCCACTCTCCGCACTGGCTGGACAACAAACAGCAGTCAAATACCTTAGCTCCTGGTTGCCATTTCAAAATCTCATGCCGTTGAAACAAAACTATTGGATTTTTACCTTGAATTCGGTTGCACGCGAGGCTGATTTTCTGGTGTCCCCTCTTCCCTCTGTGATTTCGAGCCTGGGGTTCTATTTCTGTAGCATCTCATCTATCATCCTCTGCTCCCCATTCTGCACCATTGCCCGGAGAGCGAGTCACGTGGCGTGGGCCTGGGGTTGCGCTTTGCCTTGCGCGTTGCCGCTGAGAAACGTCCACGCAAGGTTTCGCTTTTATCTCTATTGTGGGAAGGCCGCCACCTCTTGCTGCTCCCATTGGTTAATGAGAAGGGAAACTCACTAACGGGCTTGCACTGTGCACTACAAACACCAGCGGGAATGGAGACCACTCAGGAACAGCAGAACGGCCACCCTGGGTTAGACCAAAGGTCCATCCAACCCAGCATCCTGTCTGCCAACAGTGACCAATGCATGATGCCCCAGAGGGAGTGAACAAAATAGGGAATCCTCACGTGATCCCTCCCCTGTTCCCCATTCGCAGTCTGTGACAAACCGAGGCGAGGGACACCATTCCTACCCATCCTAGCTAATAAGTATCGATGGCTCCAACCTCCACGAATTTATCTAAGACCCTGCTTTGGGCAGGGGGCTGGACTCGATGACTCCTGAGGTGTCTTGCAACCCTTGGATTCTGTGATACTAATGACTGTTGGGTCACCAGCTTTCATTTTGATCATTCAGAAAACATACTTTATACCTAAATTCTATGACATAAGAACGTTAAACCAGCCATACTGGGTGAGACCAAGGGTCCATCTAGTCCATACTGTTATCCAGCAGAGGCTAGTGCCTGATGCTTCAGAGGGAATCAGCAGAAAAGGTCATTTACTGAATGATCCATCCCAGTTTCTGCCAATTGTTAGCTAAGGAGACCCAATGCATGGGATTACGGTCCTGACCATCCTAGCTAATAGACATGCTAATGGACTGATCCTCCATGAAATTATCTAATCCCTTGTTGACCCCAGTTGTGGTTTTGGTCTTCATAATATCCCCTGGCAAGGAGTTCCACAGGTTGTCTGCATAGTCCAAGGAACTTACATTTGTTTTAAACTGAGTGCCTAGTGATTCCATTGGGTGATACCTGGTTCTTGTGGTGTAAGTGTTAGGTGTAATGAGTGTGTCAAGTCTGATATGAGTCACCACCAAGTGGGTCTCTGCCAGGTGACACTGAGGGGCTCTTAGCATCCCAGCAACCACAGGTGGCCAGTTGGGAGGTGCTGTATAGGTTCCCAAACTGGGCAGCAAGCTCCCTGGGGGGCATGAAGAAATTCCAGGGAGAGCGTGAGACAACCCAGCCTCCCATCAATTCCCCTCCCCCTCCCCCCCCCGTCATTCCTGGTCCATCCGGTAAAAAAAATTAGAAAATCCCATTTTTACATTGGTCCCAGGAATTGAAGGGACCGTGACTGTTTTTTGGACCTGGTCAGTTCAACAAGTTTTGCTCAACAAGTTGGGGTTAGGGTTTCTCAAAAATCGAAA